CTCTCTCTCCCTACCTCTCCCTCTCTCTCTTCCTACCTCTCCCTCTCCCTCCCTTGCGCTCTCTCTCGCGCTCTCTCAGTTTCTCTCTGTCTCTCTCTCTCGAACTCTCTCTTTCGCTCTCTCTCTCTCTTTCTCTCTCACCTTTTTTCCTTCGAAAAATGTGTTTTTAAGAAAATCGAATTTAAATGTTACTTCGGGGCGCGAAATTCAAACCGGCTGCCGCGTCACCACACAACGGCGCTGCGTCTGCCAACAGCGCTGGGCAATAGCGTCGTTTCTTTGCGTTTTCAGTGAAACTGTCCAAAGTAAACCTCGTGCAAAATCAGTTCGAACCGCAATAATAACGGAAGATAGAAAAAAAATAACACTAGTGTACACTTTTTTTTTGGTAACAAGAACAAAACACCGATTCTAGAAGATAATTTGCCTCTCAATTCAATCTAATTTTAAAATTTCTGAATCGGCCTCAGTTATTATATGATAATGTTTTTTTTGTAATTGCGTATGTCTCCCTATTATATGTATCTGGCAAAATGACATGCTCTAATAACAAGTGATCCGCATGTATACAGTATGAACCACAACATAAGTGGTAACAAAAGTGAAGAGGAGGCTTGAAATGTTTCACAGGAGGCTTGAAACTTTGGAACAGCATGGATATCTTCTCTCCTACCTTCTGAATGTTTGCCACTGTAGCATTAATCTTCATTCACTGTCAAATTTTCAGGAGGAACAGGCAATTCTGCAGTTCGGGCCTTGTAACAGATGGAAAATTAGGATGTTGCACAGTTTTCTTCGTTTTTGAGGCGATTCCAGCTATTTGACAGAACTGCTGTCAGACAGAAAAAAAAGTATGTTGGGTGATCCGTTGGTTTCTTCCAAATCATGAGTACAGCAAAGGGCATGTGTCGTGAACCTTTTGACCAGCATGTCAGGACTTTACTCATGATACAGCATAAACGGGAGGCCTTCTTTTTGTCCCGGTTGCCAACCCTACACCCGAAATAAAGTCCATAACACTTTCTTATCAGAGAATTAAGGTCGGTTTTTGCGGTTTCAGAGTTAATTCCCTACAGATATAACATAAAAGATATGGACTACTTGTACAAAAAAGAGGCATTTTCTTCTTCTGAATTAATACAAAGCACAAATCTTCACGAACCTAGAGCAGCGCAACCTACAACAAGGAGTCACATCCAAGCCGCTTCCCACGCTGTCACATCTCTCAAAGCTGGGACGCAACTGGCAAGAAACACAACGTAATTCTATCTGTTCCAGCATGACGTACCAGCAATGTTGCCAAACCTTTTTAATTTTCTAAAAGTAAATTTTCTGAATTTAGTGTCATGTGTAGAAATCCTTGCTCAGATTTATTTTGTTTCTGAATAATTACATAAGCTGATTTACATATTACATAAGCTGAAGCTGCCGCAAAATGATCAATATGTACCGTTTTCAAGCATTTCCGTAAGTAGAGAGTAGCTTGTAACGAGAAAACTGAGCTCGATAGGCAAAAAATGATATTCATTCAAAATTCATATTCGAATTCAGTGTCCAACTCTCAGCTAAGAATATCATTCACGTTCTTCGTTGCAAAAGTGCGGTTCACCAGTGTAATAAATTTCCTTCGTAGGCTGTAACACTGGCACAACTTCAAAAATACGAATTTTAAGTTATGACACTCATTGTAAAATATTTTATTATTGTTAGTATAAACAGAACTCCTGTGAAGTCTTTTATTAATGCTTACCCCTTAATGCACCAGTTACAAAGCGTGTAATACCTATGATTCAACCAATGCTTAAACCTTTAAAATCGTTCATCTCGCAACTTCATTTTTCGAGTTGTGCCAATATTGCTGCCTATAAACGATTTTATGCAATTAGTTCATAACGTTAAGCTTCATTGTATGAGTACATGTTTTGAAAACGAGTAACGTTAGGAACGAGTTTTCAAATTTGTACGAATGCAATAAAGCAGCATTATAAACGAGTTGCATACGATCTTTTTTTGTATAACAACATTATAAATTTATAAGAGAATCAAACTTCATTTTGCGAAACAACTTTCTTGTGACGTCTCGAGTACTTGACATCTGTGCGAGAAAACGGTGGTCGGCAGTTTCGTTTACTTTTACTCCCCCCCCCCATTCTGTCGCTGCAATTGACTAAATATGTGATGACGCAATCATTGATGCCACAAAACCTAATACGTCAACATTTGTGCAGTAAAAATGCCCAATTATAAACAATTTCTTGCAACAGAAAAGGTCGTTTAAATTGTTAGAATACAAAAAAATACTTTTAATGAACGAGAATTTTAGTTGCAGAACGCTGATAAAATATGTCATGATATTAAGAACTAGTGGTGCTGCAGAATGACACAGGCTTTCCCGTATTAGTTTTCTTTTTCCTTTGGTCTCGTCTAGCTATTCGAACGTGCCACGTCTTGTCAGCTGCCATCTATCGCCACGCAAAGTACATTTTTTTAAAAACAATTTCTGAATTTTTCGATTTCCTAATAGTATAATCAAATTATTACTTTAAAAAGAAGAGTAAAACCTCGTTATGTATGAAACTTTTCGTTGAAAAATTTAAAGAGAATTTAGAGAAATTTTCAGAGAAAAAATTAGAGATTTTTTAAAGAAAATAACGTTTAAGCGTTACTGTGAATGCGAAATTTAAAGCTATTTTCAGAGAAAACTATTAAGTTTTCGAAAAAATCATAGGAAGTTATTTCAAGCACTTCTAGTTGGGTAATATTGTTTACAAATTGCTGGAAATGTGCATAATAAAGGCTTGAGAGATCTTTCAAAGAAATTACATTTGTGTAACTTTTGAAACAAGAACAATAAATTCCCATCACTGAACTTCACGTCATATTAAAGAGTTCAATTCTTTCGAAAAGTTCGAAGAAAAGAATTGGAGTCATTTTTTTTTTTTTTAGAAAATGGCGTTTGAGCATTTCTGAAAATGCGGAATTTTGAGCTAGTTTTCACAGAAAACTGTTGATTTTTCGAGAAACTTTATTTGACATTATTTAAAGCACATGCACTAATAAATATAATAATGTGAACAAATAGCTTCTAATATAAATATTAACGACGTTGGAGACAAGTCAAACAAATTAAATTTTTCTAATTCCTCAAAAAACAAAAGAATAGAGCAATATGGCTTCTGTGTCATCTTACAGAGAACATTTAGCTCTATTCGTACCAAAAGATTAAAGAAAACATTTGGAGTCTTTTTGAGAAAATCTTGTTTTGTAATTTTTTAAAGCTGTACATGTAGCTCACAATATTCTGCGAAAAGTACTAAAAGTTTCAAAAACATGTACATGACCTAAATGAAAGAACTCACTAAGGAGAACAAATTTTATTTGAAGCACAAAACCTTTATCTTTAATATTCTACTTGTAGGAAGACGCCAAAAAATATTTTGGAATTTTCGAAAATTCAGAATTATCAGTGAAAATCGGACCTATGTCACCTTTATAAGTTTATTTTACTCCATTCTAACGAAAAATCTGGAAAAAAAGTTGGAGTCGTTTATGAGAAATGTTTGAAAATGTTCGGGTGCCTGTATGTAAAGTACTTCCAAATTTAAAGAATATTTTTCAAAATCTCATATCTTCGACTCGAGTCACATGGACAGGGGTTTCTTCAATTTGGAAAAAATCCTACGCATAGTTTAGCCGCTAGTAGTGTTCACAGACGTACAGACAGACGGACGGATAAACTGACGTTTTGAAGAAAAACAACACTTTTTTGGTATCTGGGGACCCCAAAACGTGTATTTCCATTGAAATCTCGAAATCGATTTTCCATAGCATTACATAAGATAAGATAATATAGGTAACATGCAAATTATATAATAATAATAATTATTATTATAATAATAATAATAATGTAAAAGCTGTCTA